ACCTCACATCACCCATGCAGAAAGACAGATCAGGTCGAAGAACTCCAAGACTGGTGCTAAACTACAAGCTGCACAGTTGATTTTTTTCGCTGGAGGAGGAGGATACCGTGGAGGTGGAGGTCAAGGACGAGGCAGAGGAAGAGGTAGAGGAAGGAGAAGAGTTAGAGGGCGAGGAGTGTGAGGAGCGCGAGGCGCCTCTGAAGGGAGAGACTGGAGCTGCTACAACTGTGGCAATCCAGGATATTTTGCAAGGGACTGTCCTGGTGATGGAGATGACCAGGGTGAATGGACAGGACCACCTGAAGATGTAAAGGTTGGAAATCGCTTTGGTGGGCAAAGAAGATAGGATGAGGTGGAAACAGAAGAAGACTCTGATGATGAAGAACCACAAGAAGCATGCCAGATGCTGAAACTTACCACCTTTTCGACTAAAAATCCCCTGATAGAAATTGAAATACTTGGCCAGAAGATTCCATTCCTAGTAGACACCGGGGCTGCTATCTCGGTGTTGAAACAATCTGTCCTGAAAGTAATGTCCTCTAAACAAAAACTCCTCACTGTTGGAGCATCAGGAATTCTCTCTGAAGAATGCCTAACTTATCCCCTACATGTTAAATGGGAAGATGGAAACATTGATTTCTGTACTCCTCCGCCTGCCCTGTAATCCTCCTGGGAAAAGATCTGATGTGCAAGATAAATCTGACTGTTGCATGCACTGCTGAGGCTTGTCCCTCCGTTCCCCTACAAATGAGATATACCCGTTCATGTCCCAGTGTTATTATGCCTGGCATTTGAACGATCCTGAGGTGGAAGGTGAACTACGAGAGAGATCACTTACCTCCCCACAACACTGTGCATGGGAGGTCCCGGAACATCTTCACTGCACAGCAGCTGTCCCCTCGTGTGAAGAAGACACTGAATATCAACAAAGATGGACAAAGCAGAAAAGCAGAGTTGAAGTGACAATTGATGGAATATAATACGGTGAGGAATTTACATCGGCCAGAGTTTTGCAGTCTGATGTACAGAGAGCACTGTATGAAGTAACAGGTGCGGTCCCACCCTGTAGTATGTAAAAATAAAAATAGATTGAGAATGGAGAGATGTTGGCCCTTGGATGAAGACTGTGATGACAGCCACTGATTGGGTGGTCTGGGAAGGTAATGGGAAGTGGTCACCATCAACAGCGACCTTTTACTCCCGTTTCTGGGCTACCACTCGAACGATACCTGTTATAATGAGTTTCTCTGGTATCAAGTAATTCAGGATGCAAGAATATACTTAAACAATTATATGGAGAGTTGATGCAAAGTATTTAATTGCTTATGGTACCGGGTTCGTATTACAAACGGCACATGCGTTGCCTCCTGTCATCCGAACACTGGACAAAGGAAATCTCTCAGTTTATATTCTTAATGTTACACGTTTCTTCAACAACATCTGGTAACCATCAGTGAGCACTCTCCACTCTGATGGTATCACCCTGTACCCAAGTCAGTGTATTCCATCTATCAATCATTCTATGATAAACCCCAGTAAGTTCCCTCGACATACTGGAATCCTTAGTATTCAGACTCTGTGGCACCAAGAGTTACCTATCTAACAGATTTAACTTTGTTCCCACAACACTATGACAATACGTTATATCAATACCAAAGAAAGGACCTCTTCTTACCGAAGGTATGATGGTCGTGCCCCAAGATAACTCCCACATACCATGGCTGGATGAAGTGCCAGAACAGCTCTGGGCTATCTCTAAAACCGATATTGGGAAGATGAGCGGTGCCACCCTGGTGAAAGTTGTCCTGAAGAATAATCACAGACCATATAATGGTCACTACCCTCTTAGAAAAGAAGCAGAAAAGGTTATTATTCCCATCCATCAGGCCCTAGTTGAAAATGGGGCTTTGATCCCATGCCCAAATTGTTCCTGTAACACCCGAAATTTACCTGTTAGGAAGCCAACTGGTGAATATCCTTTTGTGCAAGTTCTTAGAAAAGTTAATTATGCTGTTCACGCAAGAGCACCCCTGGTGCCCAACACAGTTACTATTCTTTCCCAAGTTTCCCCAGGGAGCTGTTGTTTTTCAGTTACAGATTTGGCTAATGCATTTTCCAGCATCCCTGTTGACCCTGGGTCACAGGATTGGTTCTCTTTTACATTTCTTGTGGAAAAATGGACTTGGACGGTGATGCCACAAGGCTACATTGAATTATCTGCCATTTTTTCCCAAGAAATGGCGAGGAACCTGGAAGGTTTTATTCCACCTGGAGGTAGTACTGTAGTTCAATACGTTGATGACCTGTTGGTCTGTTCCTCATCTGAGGAAATCTGTCAAGAAGATACTAAGGCATTGTTGATTTTCTTAGCTGAAAATGGTCATAAATCTTCCCCCTCTAAGATGCAGTTGTGTAGAAGTTCTGTTAAATATTTGGGTCATGACATTACTTCTGAGGGTCGCGCCCTCTCTAAAGATAGGCTTGAGGCGATAAAGTCCCTGCCTAAAGCTGTTACTAAGCAACACATGATGTCGCTGTTGGGAGTGGCTGGTTACTGCCACCCATGGTTGAAAGACTATGCAGAGACAGTACAGCTTCTGCAGGATTGTATTTATGGCAGAAAGATGGAAATGTCTGAAGTGGTGGAATGGACACCTGAGGCTGAATTTGCCTTGATTAAGTTAAAGCAGTCTCTAATGTCGACCCCCTTTTTGAGTTTGCCTGACTACACCAAACCATTCCATCTCTTTGTCTCTGAGAATCATGTGTTTATGTCTGCTGTGTTGATACAGTACCACGGAGTTGGCTATAGGCCTGTGGGGTACTACTCTAAGTGTTTAGACACTGTTATCCGAGGCATGGTTTCCTACCTCCGCTCTGTTGCTGCGGCAACTGAGGCGGTTTTGGCATGTTCTGATATTGTACCAGTGACTGAGCTGACGGTGCATGTTCCCCATGCGGTTCATACCATTATTACACAGGCTAAAACTGCCCATCTTATGCCTGCCAGATTGTTGGATTATTAGAACATTCTGTTGACAATGTCTCACGTTACCCTGAAAAGATGTACTATGCTTAACCCATCTACTCTTCTCCCTACAGCTGATAACAGTGAAGAACATGACTGTGAATTGACAATTGAGATTGACTGTAGCCCTAGGCTTGACCTAAAAGACGTTCCTCTTTTGAATTCGGACTTTACGTTTTTTGTGGATGGCTCTGCCCAGCGAAACAACAAGGGTGAACCTTTAGTAGGCTGTGCTGTTGTCACCGCTGTTCAAACTGTGGAAAGTGCTAGACTTCCCCCTCACTTGTCTGCTCAGGAAGCAGAGATATTTGGTTTAACTAGAGCATGTATTTTGGCTACGGATTGCTCTGTTAATATCTACACTGATAGTAGATATGCATTTTGTGTATTATTCTGGAAAAACTATTGCTCACAGTGATCTTGTCTCCTCTTTGCTGACGGCCGTTCAGCTCCCCTCATCTATTGCAGTGGTTAAGTGCCAAGTACACACTTCTGCAAAGGACAGTGTTTCTCAAGGGAACGCTAAAGCTGATTGTGCGGACAAGCTGGCTGCTTCGTCTTCTGTTTCCCCCCCCTTACAGATGGTAGCAGTTCCTGTTCCCACTAACCCCTTCTCTCCTAATGATGTTGTTGTTTTGCAGGCAGCAGCTGATGCGACTGAGAAAAGGCGGTGGGCTGAACACTGTCACAAGGACACCTCAGGTGTACGGCTTGATGTTAGACCTGCCATGCCCCATTGTACTTTCCAATACTTTGCTAAATTGTCACATGGTCAAGACCATGTGTCAAAAGGAGGGATGGTGGATCTTGTAAATAAATATTTGAGTACAGTAGGATTTACTGTGTTTGCTAAACATTTTATAAGAAGTGTGTGATCTGTATGACTAATAATGTTGGACGCGGCATTTCAGTATCCCCCGCGTCCCATTCCAGGCCAAAGTCTCCCTTTGAGCACTAGATGATGGACTTCATTGAGTTGACCCCTTGTGACGGGAACAAGTATTGTTTGGTGATTGTTGACATATTTTCAAAATGGATTGAAGCAGGAGAGCTACAGCAGCAGCTGTGGCAAAGGCTCTTCTGAGAGAGATCATACCAAGGTGGGGTCTGCCGTCAAAATACTACTCTGACAATGGTCGACATTTTGTGAATGAGATTGTTCAGTCCCTGTCAGTGGCTTTACAGATTGATTTGAGAACCCATTTTGCCTATCATCCTCAATCTGGGGGTGCAGTAGAACGGGCAAACCAAACCCTAGAAAATAAATAGATTAAGCTGATTGGTGAAACAAGCCTGACATGGGTGAAGGTGCTTCCATTGGCACTGATGAGCATGAGAGGCAGATCCCACACAGTGACTGGTCTCTCTCCCCATGAGGTGCTGACAGGGTGACCCATGACAATGACTAACACGCCATTTCCTCAAAACAGGTTGACGTTGCAGGGAATGGAAGAAGACATGGTAGCATATTGTGTCTCACTTAACAATGTTCTTAAGACTCTCTTCCCACGGGTGAAGGCTTCTCTGCCCAACCTATCAGGAGGAACTGAGCATTGTCTGTGCCCTGGATACTTTGTGGTGGTAAAAGACTACAGAAGGAAGAGCTGGAAGGGTCCTTGTTGAAGAGGACCATATCAGGTTTTGCTGACCACCCCAACTGCAGTAAAGGTAGCTGAGAGGGACACCTGGATTCACGTCTCGCACTGCAGACGAGTTCCTGCCCCTGAGGAGGATTGCGGGAGTCCCATCCCTTAGGCTGTGTGGCCTGCCTGTCTGGATCTGCACCATTGTGTTGATTGGAACAGTTGGTTGCCCTCCAGTGGGTGACCGTTCGGGTGAAGATGAAAGTCCTGAGTCAAAGGGACCACCACAAACCCGGACTAGTGGTCCAGAAGGAAGAGTCAGCCAAAGGAAAAGAGAAGTAAAAGGTCAAAATGAGGGAGGGAATCTGTTCCTCTCTTGAGCTGAAATGATGGCAAATGTCACCTCACATAAGACTTCTTGTTGGGTGTGTCGGTTAGGTCCTGTGGGAGTAGGTAAGGGTCTCCCATATGTAGGGGTTCCCTTGGGGGTGAACTTAACTATTCAACTGTCCTCAGTATTGTTATTGGCCACTTCCCCCCCAAAGAATCCCGACCCCATTACTTATTTTGCGATGTACAATGTTATTGTCAGTCTTGTACAGTTGAAGTCGGAAGTTTACATACACTTAGGTTGGAGTCATTAAAACTCGTTTTTCAACCACTCCACACATTTCTTGTTAACAAACTATAGATTTGGCAAGTCGGTTAGGACATCTACTTTGTGCATGACACAAGTAATTTTTCCAACAATTGTTTACAGACAGATTATTTCAGTTATATTTCACTGTATCACAATTCCAGTGGGTCAGAAGTTTACATACACTAAGTTGACTGTGCCTTTAAACAGCTTGGAAAATTCCAGAAAATGATGTCATGGCTTTAGAAGCTTCTGATAGGCTAATTGACATAATTTGAGGGAAATTATGTGGATATATTGAAGCAACATCTCAAGACATCAGTCAGGAAGTTAAAGCTTGGTCACAAATGGGTATTCCAAATGGACATTGACCCCAAGCATACTTCCAAAGTTGTGGCAAAATGGCTTAAGGACAACAAAGTCAAGGTATTGGAGTGGCCATCACAAAGCCCTGACCTCAATCCTATAGAAAATGTGTGGGCAGAACTGAAAAAGCGTGTGGGAGCAAGGAGGCCTACAAACCTGACTCAGTTACACCAGCTCTGTCAGGAGGAATGGGCCAAAATTCACCCAACTTATTGTGGGAAGCTTGTGGAAGGCTGCCCGAAACGTTTGACCCAAGTTAAACAATTTAAAGGCAACGCTACCAAATACTAATTGAGTGTATGTAAACTTCTGACCCACTGGGAATGTAATGAAATAAATAAAAGCTGAAATAAATAATTCTCTCTACTATAATTCTGACATTTCTCATTCTTAAAATAAAGTGGTGATCCTAACTGACCTAAGACAGGGAATTTTTTACTAGGATTAAATGTCAGGAATTGTGAAAAACTGAGTTTAAATGTATTTGGCTAAGGTGTATGTAAACTTCCGACTTCAACTGTATATCCTAGGCCAAACAATTGCAGTGACCCACCAATCCCTATAGGAGGATCCCTGGTAGCCCCCTGGTGTATTAGAGGAAATGGGAGTAACCATTTGGGTTAAAATGTTGGTAACTGTACTATGTTGGTTAATGGTAGCAATAACTGCTCACTTGATTCTGGACATGATTCTGTTACAGGAGCAGCAGGAAATATGAGTTATACAATTTCTTTCTACATTAAGTATTTCGCACTGGAAGGAGCCCCAAATGGTACCTATTGGTTGTGTGGCCAACTTGCTTATTATAGTTTACCACCTAATTGGGGAGGGACGTGTACTGTTGGGTTTGTGTTGCCGGCCATTAGAGTCCTTGGAAACACTGAAACAGAATTGAGGTTTCTGTTCAGGGACTATCATCAGACGACCCCTCGTTTTAATGAGCGATCCCTTGCAGATGTCACTCAGGTGCAGACCTTCTTCTTCTAATTCACAGGTGTTTTGCTGCCCCAATATGGAGTTGCATTTGCCTTAGATCAAATTAGAGATTTGGCTATTAAAGTTGAGAAAATGGGAAATGCTACTAGAGACGCCTTGGCTGCTCTGAATGAGGAAGTGAAAGCACTCCGCAAGGTGGCCCTGCAAAACAGGGAGGCAGCTGAGTACTTACTGGCTGGTCAAGGGGGTACTTATGCACTCATTGGCGACGAATGCTGCACTTTTATCCCAGATGTGTCATCAAATGTGACTGACCATGCTAACTACATTGCAACTGTTGCAAAGTGTCATTCCGGGAAATCAGAGTGGGTGTTTACTGGTTGGCTGAAAAGCCTCTTTGGAGCTTGGGGCTCCCAGATAGCTCAGTGGGTGAAAGCTGGAATCTTTTGTTTAATGTGTTTGATCATTTTGCTTTCATGTTGTAAGCCATTTGTACTTCCCTGCCAACTTGAGTCTCAGCAACTATCGTGGTCAATGCTACTAAAAAAGGTGATACTGATAACTTACTGTCTCTCCAGGAACTCCCCTTTCCCCCTATAATGGATGAAATCTCAATCGAGTTGTTGTGGCAGGACTTGAAAAGTGCATTTCATGCTTGTAAACCCAGAAAATGGCTGCTCACTGTTCGACTCCAGGTGAGCGTAAATGGATGCGTGTCGGAACCAGAAAGAAGGAGAATAATCGTTCTCGCCGCACTTGCCTTCTTCCCTCGCGTCCGGACTTAAGACTTTCAAATCGCTATGAGCCCCTGTACCAGCTGTCCTCTGTCGGGGGCTTGGGTGTACCCTCCAGCTACTTCTCCCTGTCCTAGTCAATCAACTACCTGGGCCGTGCTCTTTGGATCAGAGCTCTGTCCCTTTGGTGGTTGTGGCCTGCACGCAGCCGGCGTCTCAGCAGCTCTCTTCTCAGGTGAGTTCTGTGGCTCTGGCCTCACAATCTGCTTCGAGACACGGCAGAGGCCGGATCATTCTGGTGATTGTGATAGGGAGTTCGTTGGTGAGGCATATATCTGTCCCTGGTGCAAAGACTTTGTGTTTTCCTGGGGCAAAAGTTCAGGATATCACCAGGTTGCTTCCCGAGGCTGTGAGTCAGTCACTGGATGCTGATACCGTCATGGTTCATGTGGGGTTAAATTACATTATGAAGGGCAGCTGAGAACAGTTGAAGATGGATTTTAAAGAACTGATTGGGTCTCTACTTGACACCAACAAAAGCCCCATAATATCTGGCCCTCTGCCCTCCCTAAATCGTGGCATTGAATGGTTCAGCAGACTTTTAGCCCTCCATAACTGGCTACGAGACTATTGCAACTCTGTGGGTGTAACATTTATTGACAATTTTGATACCTTCTGGAAACAAAGCTCGTATTATAAGGAGGATGTGATCTAACCAAATCATTTGGATTCCTGGATCCTTTCACAGCATTATAAGGCTGCGTTGAGACAATGACTTATCAATGACCCAAGTCCAGCTAATTTAATCCCTACCATTGTGTAGCAGAGTTGTCATAATGATTCAGCAAATGTACATTATCCTATGGGCGTTGGAAGACACAATGTAAATAATTTATGTCCCTCTTACTGCCCGGAATGCCTCTGCTGATCCTACAGCTATTGTATGCAGTAATCATATGCCTATGAACCAGAGTAATACTGTTAGCACTGAGGTGGTGTGACCTAGTAGGAAGTCCACTGCGTGCAGCTCACCCTGCACTAATACAAATAACCTGAGTATGTCTACCTCTGCTAAGCTTCCCAGTAAAGCAAGAACAATAATCAAGCATCCCACAAAAGCGTTAAAAATAGCACGTTAACATATTTTGCTTAAGAAACAAGGTTCATGAAATCAATAATTTGCTAGTAACAGATGTCATTCTTATTCTGACAATCTCTGAAACTCACTTAGATAACACCATTTATGATACAGTGGTAGCAATACAAGGTTATAACATTGACAGAAAATATAGAAATGCCATTGGGGGCAGTGTTGCGGTCTATATTCAGAACCACATTCCTGTAAAGCTTAGAGAGGATCTCATATTAAATACTGTTGAGGTAATATGGCTACAGGTTCACCTGCCTCACCTGAAGCCCATTCTGGTGGGAAGCTACTATAGACCACCAAGTGCTAACAGTCAGTATCTGGATAACATGTGGGAAATGCTTGATAATATATGTGATATCAATAGAGAGGTATACTTTCTGGGTGTTTTAAATATTGACGGGCTTTCATCAGGCTGCCCACTCAAGAGAAAGCTTCAAACTGTAACTAGTGCCTGCAACCTGGTTCAGGTTATCAATAAACCTACCAGGGTAGTTACAAACAGTACAGGAATTAAATCATCAACATGTATTGATCATATCTTTACTAATGCTGCAGAAATTTGTTTGAAAGCAGTATCCAAATCCATCGGATGTAGTGATCACAATATAGTAGCGATATCTAGGAAAACCAAAGTTCCAAAGGCTGGGTCTAATATTGTGTATAAGAGGTCATACAATAAGTTTTGTAGTGATTCCTATGTTGTTGATGTGAAGAATATTTGTTGGTCTGTGGTGTGTAATGATGAGCAACCAGACGCTGCACTTGACACATTTATGAAATTGTTTATCCCAGTTACTAATAAGCATGCACCCATTAAGAAAATGACTGTAAAACGGTTAAATCCCCGTGGATTGATGAGGAATTAAAAAATTGTATGGTTGAGAGGGATGAGGCAAAAGAGATGGCAAATAGGTCTGGCTGTACAACCGATTGGTAAACGTACTGCAAATTGAGAAATCATGTGACTAAACTGAATAGAAAGAAGAAGAAACTACACTACAAAACAAAGATAAATGACATAAAGAATTATAGTAAAAAGCTTTGGAGCACCTTAAATGAAATTTTGGGCAAAAAGGCAAACTCCGCTCCATCATTCATTGAATCAGATGGCTCATTCATCACAAAACCCACTGATATTGGCAACTACGTTAATGATTTCTTCATTGGCAAGATTAGCAAACTTAGGCATGACATGCCAGCAACAAACGTTGACACTACACATCCAAGTATATCTCAATAAATTATAAAAGACAAGCATTGTAATTTTGAATTCTGTAAAGTAAGTGTGGAAGAGGTGAAAAAAGTATTATTGTCGATCAACAATGACAAGCCACTGGGGTCTGACAACTTGGATGGAAAATTACTGAGGATAATAGCAGACGATATTGCCACTCCTATTTGCCGTATCTTCAATTAAAGCCTACTAGAAAGTGTGTGCCCTCAGGCCAGGAGGAAAGCAAAAGTTATTCCCCTACCTAAGAATAGTAAAACCCCCTTAACTGGCTCAAATAGCCGACCAATCAGCCTGTTACCAATCCATAGTAAACTTTTGGAAAAAATTGTGTTTGACCAGATAAAATGCTATTTTACAGTAAACAAATTGACAATAGACTTGCAGCAGGCTTATAGGGAAGAGGACATTCAACAAGCACAGCAGTTACACAAATGGCTGATGATTGGCTGAGAGAAATTGAATATAAAAGATTGTGGGGTCTGTTTTGTTAGACTTCAGTGCGGCTTTTGACATTATCGATCATAGTCTGTTGCTGGAAAAACGTATGTGTTATGGCTTTACACCCCCTGCTATATTGTGGATAAAGAGTTACCTGTCTAACAGAACACAGAGGGTGTTTTTTAATGGAAGCCTCTCCAACAAAATCCAGGTAGAATCAGGAATTCCCCAGGGCAGCTGTCTAGGCCCCTTACATTTTTCAATCTTTACTAACGACATGCCATTGGCTTTGAGTAAAGACAGTGTGTCTATGTATGCGGATGACTCAACACTATACACGTCAGCTACCACAGCGACTGAAATGACAGCAACACATAACAAAGAGCTGCAGTTACTTTCAGAATGGGTGGCAAGGAATAAGTTAGTCCTAAATAAATAAGCATTGTATTTGGGACAAATCATTTACTAAACCCTAAATCTCAACTATATCTTGTAATGAATAATGTGGAAATTGAGCAAGTTGAGGAGACTAAATTACTTGGAGTAACCCTGGATTGTAAACTGTCATGGTAAAAAATATTGATACAACAGTAGCTAGGATGGGGAGAAGTCTGTCTATAATAAAGCGCTGCTATGCATTCTTAACAGCACTATCATCAAGGCAGGTCCTACAGGCCCTAGTTTTGTTGCACCTGGACTACTGTTCAGTCGTGTGGTCAGGTGCCACAAAGAGGGACTCAGGAAAATTGCAATTGGCTCAGAACAGGGCAGCACGGCCTGCCCTTGAATGTACACAGAGAGCTAACATTAATAATATGCATGTCAATCTCTCCTGGCTCAAAGTGGAGGAGAAATTGACTTCATCACTACTTGTATTTGTGATAGGTATTGACATTTTGAATGAACCGAACTGTCTGTTTGAACTACTGGCACACAGCTCGGACACCCATGCCTACCCCACAAGACATGCAACCAGAGGTTTCTTCACAGTCCGCAAGTCAAGAACAGACTATGGGAGGTGCACAGTACTACATAGAGCCATGACTACATGGAACTCTATTCCACATCAAGTAACTCATGCCAGCAGTAAAATTAGATTTAAAAAACAGATAAAAATACACTTTATGGAACAGCAGAGACTGTGAAGCAACACAAACATAGACACATGCACATGGTCTTGCCTACGCCTAGCGAACAGTTTTTTAAATTATATGAGAAAATAATATTCAATTTGATTTGGAACGGCAAGCCAGACAAAATTAAAAGGGCATATTTATATAATGAATATGAATTCGGAGGACAGAAATTATTAAATATTAAAGCATTAGACCTATCACTAAAAGCTTCAGTCATACAAAAGTTATACTTAAATCCGAACTGGTTCTCAAGCAAATTAGTAAGATTGTCTCACCCAATGTTCAAGAAAGGCCTTTTTCCCTTTATTCAGATTACAACAACTCATTTGCAGTTATTTGAAAAGGAAATAATCTCCCAA